AAATAAAATCACTTCTTTATTTTCTCAAAAAAATTATTATATCACTATTTTTATTCGTGCCGTAAAATTCATGAGATCGACCTAAGGGTTCATTTGACAGAGTTTTTGCTTCTTGTAGAAAATTTCTATAAAAAAAGTTACTTGAATTTTGAAAACTAATTTCTTAAAAAGCTTCATCTTTCGAAAGAGCATTTTGAGGATAAGTTATTGGGTCAACTTCCCCTAAAGTCTCTTTTAACTAAAATAAACACTTTTATAAAATTAATCTAACGAATTCAAAAATAGCTTTTGAATTTCAGAAACACCTCTTTAACTTTTCAAACGTCGTGCCAAATGGATCTAACTAGCTCATCCAAAAGGGGGAAAAAAAGCCTGAATCGATTTTTCATTTTTTCGAAAAACAAAGAATTTTCTTTTAACTTTTGGTTTTTATTTTTACACTATCAAAAAGTAGTTTTTATTTGTTATTTTGTCCTCATTGATTTATAAATATTTAATTAGATAGCTATCTTTGATCTGTTGTTCGATTCGGAATCGATCACGATCTTACTTTTTAACTCTTTACTATGTTCATTCGAATTGTTGTCCAGCTCGAGTTTTAAAACATTGTTTATACAACTTATAATGAAATTTTAGTCTTTTTCAACGATATTAAATTTTGATTTAGTCCGAGTAGATTTTTTTATAAAACAAATCGAGAAAATTGCAAGCTGTCCAGACGAATTGAGAATCGATCCATCCATCTTAATATATATTTTTTTAATTTGTTACTTTTAGATATTTTTAACTTCTCATTTGACCTTGATTTGACTTTTTTTACCCTTAGCTCATTTATTTATTTATTTTTATTTTTTATTTTTAAAGTCGATGTCCAATTCTTAAATTTTTTAACTGAGATAAAAACTCTCACCTAACGAAGACTTCCAATAAACGACAAATATAAGATTCCTTCTCAGCTCTCTCTCTTAATTGCGGCTGTTTCTGCCGCTGCTGGCCTGCTGCTACTCTGCTTTGACGCCTATAAAAGGACCGCCTCTGCATTAAAGAAGTTCTCTATCAATTCTATTCATACACTTCTATAGCGTGTGATTCCCTCCATTCAGTGCTTATATAGAGAGAGAAATTATACTGTTGAAGAAATGTACGATGAAACTGGACTAATGTTCCCTTATTTCCAGAGCTTCCCTCAAGAAGTTCAGCAGCTTGATGAGTTCTATTACTCTCAGAAACCCAATGCTCCATTGGTAATTGATTTATTGGTCTATTTTTTTCCCCTTATTTTACGCCGTGACCGTCTCTTGAAATCTCAAAACTTGATTGTCATTTCTTTGATGAATTTGAATCCAATTTTTTGAAATTCTGTTGTAGAATGATGTTCATTTGGGCTTCTGATTTTTCATTTCGAACTGGGTTTTTTCTTTAATTTCGATTTTTTAGGATTTTTATGGAACATATGGGGTTTGAAGTTCATATCTGCAAATATGTTTGATCATATTTTGTGGGGTTTCGTTTCTCTTTATTTGGGGGAAAATAATTGGAAGTTTTAATCTCAAACATTTTTGGGCAATTATTATTCCAGTCTGAATAAGCAAAATAATAATAATAATAATAATTCTTAGTTTTCTGCTATGTCTGAATCAGCAAAATAAATTATTCTTAGTTTTCTGCTATGTAAAATTGAAAATTGATATGGGGCGAAGAAGAAAAGGAAAAAGGAAAAATTGAATTCTTTTGGAATGATTCGATTTTTCAGTAAAGTTGTATTTTTCGTGGTACTTAACGGGTATATGAAAAGAATTTGAGGTCTATTTTATGTGCTGGGTTTCTATATGGAAGGATAAAAAGGTTTGGAATTAATCTTAAAATGACAAGTGCCGTGTTCCTTACTCCATTTTCCCTTTCTTCCACACGGCTATGAGTTTGCTTCCCATCTGATCTCTCTTTATTCAGTAGAAGTCAATTTCATTTTCAGTTTTGTGCTTCTGATGTCAATTTCTTGTCGAGGATTCATTCTTTACAGCACTGAGAAAGATTCATAATAACTCAGATGCGCCAAGCTTTGTTTCTAATGAATTTAGAGTCGGCAGAACCAATTCTTTTCATCATTCCGTACTTACCTTTCATTGTTAGCACCCACATATCGTGTTAATTTTAGTCTCCACGACTCCACCTTTGTCTTCAAAGTGTGCTAGTGAGAGCATTCAGAAAGATTCATGTTAGATAAAATTAAAGCAAAGCTGGTCCTTTATCCTTGTTATTTTAAGGAGTTTTACTTCTTGTGGAATTTCCAATTTTAGGAAAATCATAATTTCATTCTCTCTTATTCCTCGTGCTCTTTAGGTTCTTCAGGGTTGAATATTTGCAACTTTTAGGCTTGGTATGGGCAGCTTAATAGCATTAGCATCATATGTTGAAAGCCTATACAAATCAAAATTATTTGAAAATTTTGGCCTGATTTTAAAGAAAATAACAATCACTGATATAAATTTTACATGGCAGACAAGATCTAGCAGCAAATGTATTTATCGATGTCCTTTGCCAAGTTTCTTTGTGTGGTTGGAGTGAGCTGAAGTTTCTGGAAGCTAACTAATTCATGGATGACGTAGACCTTTTACATTGCCATGTATATATATTATCCTCATCGGCACCGATTTTTAGTCATTTTACGTTTCAAATTTGTAAGCAACTCAGCTGTGATCATGCCAGACATCTATGGATGTGTACAAATGCATTAAGTTCTATGTTAGGACTTCTGCATAGACGAGCATGTACTTTCTTCAGTGCTACATCAAATAATTTAAAAATAGCTCTGGTTCAGATGTCCCTTGAATACATGGTAGAATATTTATAGATACTCTTATGAACATAAGCCTCAAAATATTTTTTTTATAACTTAATAATATTAAGTTTGTGTAACCTTCGTGTTGGTATGCCTTAACATAGAGTTAGAGAGGATGTTTTTCTTGTTATATAATGATGCCCATTTTTATCAATATTACAATTTTTTTTGTGTGTGTGACTGAAACAGCAATTAGTCAGGTGCTGGTTAGTGCTTTATACTGTATAGACTAACATACGAGGTCTTATTCATCTATGGTTTGAGTTCTTAAATATTTTATGACGCGTGAAAGAGATGTATATAATAATATGTGAGGATGGATATGTGATGCTTTGATACTTGAGATAAAAGTGATTATGCACTTGTTAAACGACATGTTTTTCATGTCTTCAAATTTCTTGATTTTGAATTTTAATACAGGGCAACCTCAATCAGACATTCACCATGTCGGATTACAACCTCGGGGAAGAAGGGGATCTCTTCAAGGCCCCTGAACCAGTAATTCAAGAACCGTTGATTGGCCTTGATCCAATGACAGCTGCCATTTCAATGATTTCATGCGGAGAAAACATTATCCCCCCTGACGCACTGACTGTGTCTGCCATTGAATCATCAATTGAGAGTGGGCAACTCCTCAGCGAGGTCTACTATGAATGCAAGAAGGATATTTTGGCTAAAGATGCAACAGTAACACCCCTCTCTGAAATCATGGACATCAAAATTCCGACAGTGAAAACCGATGAACTCCCAAGTTCTGATGAAAAAATGCTTCCCGAGGGTCCGTTCCAGAAAAGTGTAAGTTCTGGCTGCTTATCATCAATGGACTGGATACGTGATGCTCCACTAAGGCCGAATTTTCTGATTCCCGGCATGGACTTGGGGGAAGTTTACGGGATGCGAAGAGCATTCAGTGAGGGAGACATAAAGGTCAAGTTTACTCTTGCATCTTCTTTCTTCAATACTTGTTTATCCATTTTCCTTTACCCCTCGAGACTATTGAGTTGGAGAAAATGACCTCTTTAAGATGTAAGTGGATATATAAAGCCCAACATTTCAATTACAAACTATATTAAAACAAACAAGTTAGAAATTCTGGTGAAATGATCAAGTTGTCCAATTCTGTTCCTGTTGCGAACAAAAATCTCGCAATAGAAATATTTTGATTGATGCCCATGTATTTATGAGAGGGGGGATTGGATAGCACTCGACAGTTTGAAGAAAGTAAAAAAAAATAAATTCTTATTCGTTATACTGTTGAGCAGTGCGTACCAAACATGCACTTATTGGTTCCATGACAAAGTCTACGAACTAAGAAATATTTAGATGTTTCTTTCCTTCTAACAGGATAGGGCAGGGTCATTGATACTCAGTTTTTATGACAGACTCTTGGTAGTGGTAATATAAGCCTCCTACCATCCCCAATGGGGCAATCACAGATTATCGGCAGTTGCACTTCTGAAGGGCGCAAGGAGAAGCTATCCAGATACTGGAGGAAGAAGAGTAAGAGGAATTTTGACAGAAAAATCAAGGTGAGAGTTTTAGAGCTTTTACCAAGCTATATTTTGGTCGAAAATTTATGTCAATAGCCGAGCTTGGTACTTCCTCCTGCTAACCTGAGAAGTGCAAGATTGTGATTTTCTTGCTGGAAATGTTTGCATAGTGCTTATGGAATGAGAAGTTATTCCCATTAAAACATCTCTCTCTCTCTTGGACGTAGTGTGTTCCTCGTGATTTGGTCCAAGATGTCGAATCATAATTTATGTGTATGGATTGATACTAGCATAATGGCCCATTGTAGTTGTTAAATGATTTAGTTGCTTAAATATTCCATTAGATTTAGCAATGAAACAAACGGAATGGAGAAAATGATTAATGTAGAAAATCTCAAATTAATCTGGAGCAAGGCTAAGAACATGTTTGAATAAGATTAAAAGGTTCACTTGGATGTAAATGAGTAGGTTTTAAAATAAATAATTTTTCGTTAGTTAAAGCTGAAAATAAGTTTTTTTGTCATTGTTCGATGCATGCCACGATGAATGCTGGAGTTAAAAAGCATATGCTAATGATGTGTTTTATTTCAGTATGCCTGCAGGAAGGCCCTAGCCGACAGCCAACCAAGAATCCGGGGAAGATTTGCAAAGACGGAAGAAATAGACACGCCCAAGAAGCAATAACTCCGAGCAGGATGAAGAAATATAGGAAGGCAGTAGGTAGAACTGAGGCTGTAATGAAAGAGATCAATGGTAATGTTAGCTGGTATAATGAAAGTCTACGCAGGATCTAGAAAATAAGCTGGGATTTAGTTGATTTCTTGCTAAGTGAAATAATCAGTAGATCAAATTTTCAACTGGAGCTGTATATACTGTTTGTTCAATAAAATTATTTTTATATATTAAATAAAAACATCCTTGGTAATGAGTGAAACTAGAGGTGCCAAAATGGGCTGGACGGGCTGTCTGGCCTTGGTCCTGCCTGTCCACGTCCTCTTGTTTTAGTTTTCGTGTATACTTTCAATGTTTTTGAGTGGAAAACCAAAAAAATGAAATTTGAGAGAAAGCACACACGGGTCGGGTTGAGAGTCTTTGAAAGTGTAACAGCCAGTCCGGTTTGATAACACTAGGTGAATTCAGTCAGTGTCCTAAAAGCTACCTTTGTAAATTCAAGAAACATTTTACTTGTACACGAGATTCTGATGTCGTTGTAACTTGAATGTAGAAATATTTGCAGTCGACATCACGAGTCTGAAGGCTCTCCACCAAAACCAGTCTTAAACAAGGAACCTTCTCTTTTAAACTCGTCGAACAGCTTTCGAACAATAGTTCCATGCTAGAGGTCATTCCGAGCTCCAACGAGAGGTTTGAATTGTCCATTATCCGAATTGTTCGTGGAGCTACATTAAGCAATCGGGTTTGCGTAGATGAAAAAATCCCACCAGCAAGAAAGATTGTTTTCAGAAACAGAACAAATAGTCTTGCAGTAAAAATCAAGAACCCAATCAAAGCCCTTCAAATCTTGATTTAAAGTCTGTCCATTACTATGAACAACCTTCTTTAAACACCCTTCTGAGCACTTGCTGTGTTATTCACCCCCATTATTCTAAAAAGCTCGTCTAAACTTCAACTAGGCGCGAAAGTTGACCTTAGCACCTAACTAAATACCTTTTAGAAACACAACCCACCTATTATGCAATCGCTATCCAAATTGACCTATTCAATGAGACGATTCTATATGCACATGTAGTAGAGGTCGTTTACTTAAACCATGACACCTCAAGCCTCTCATTCAAATTATGCACTTCGATATGTGAGGTGGTAAAAGAGAGAAAATAAAGTGAGCGTGGGATGTTGAGATGTCACAATTAAATGGTTCGAGGTTAGAAGTGTCGTGATTTGAATGAGTAATCCTATCACGTGCATATAAAAACATTTGACCGAAACTTCTCTCGTTATAACATTTCTTTCTCCTCATGTAAGCAGTATTGTATACAACGGAGGCATGAATTAATTAATGACCTAATTTAAATTGGGTAGCAACGCAAAAGTATTTTAAAATGACATAATTTTCTATGATACATGATAATTGTTTTCCACTTTCATAGGCAAAATGTCATAATACAATATCAGATTTTCATTTCTCACCTTACATACATGCTTGTGGCGTGTTATATCTATCTATGTTACGATGTCGACTTATATACATTGTCCCATGTGCTAAGTTGTAATCTAGATTAATACAATTTCGAAATAATTCGATAAAGATAATATTTTTATAAGTAGAAAAGAGATATTTTAATGGTTGTGGGGAGGGCGGACGTAAACATGTGAAAAACTCACTTCAAAACGCTTAAGGCGTCATCTTACACGCTACTCACGCACGCACGCTTCTTCTCTACTTACATAACACCTCTCCATTCCTTCTTCCTCCAATTCCTCTCTCCGGTAAGCTTCTCAGATTCTCACTCTCCTTCTTCCGTATCATGACCAATTCATAATATAGTATATGATCAAAATTACTGAAATTGTTGTTTGATTTACACCTTTTTTTATGTTTTATTTGTTTGTGAATTTGTACATAGTGCAATCTGCCGCTACTAGTGAATTTAGCTTCGGTTTGAAAAAAATTACACCGATTGTTGTTTGATTTACAATATTTTTTTGTTTATATATGATTTTGTGTTAAAAGTGTTATTCGCTGCTATTAGTTTTGGTAGGTGTGTATACATGTAGTATTGTCGAGTTGAGTTATGAAATTTTAATTGATTACCTTTAAATTATGAAAATAATACACCAATTGGTGTTTGATTTACATCTTTATCGTTTCATTCATACATTATTTTGTTCTGTAATGTAGTATAATTTAATCTGCTACTATTTGTAAATTTAGCTTCAGTAAAGCATAAGTGTTTTTCGTGTTCTTCATCATTATTAGTGATTTTTACGGCAATGCACAATAATGTTTGATTCACACCTTTTTCTTTATATGTTTATGATCGTCTTATAGTATATTATAGTGTAATCTGCTGCTAATAGTAAATTTAGCTTTGGTTTAGTAGGTGAGTGTACATTTTTGTAATTTTTCGGCCACGAATAATGATCTAACTGTAATATGATTAGAATATGAAAAAAATTATACCAATTGTTGTTTAACTTACACTTTTTTCGTTTTATTGTTAGTGATTTTGTGTTATAGTGATGTAATCTGCAACTATTAGTAAATTTATCTCCCTTTTTAGTAGGGGTGTGTATGTAGAGTAATGTGAAGTTTATGAAATTTTAATGGATTATTGAATGTCTTTTCTTTAGATTGTAGATGGCATTTTCAATTGGAGTATGCTCAAGTTCTGCTCTCGAAGGTGTGGAATTACCATGTTTCCGGCCACTGAGTAACAGTAATTCGTCGATGCGACAAAATTTTTTGCTCCCTATTTCAAGGATTAACGATAATTATTTTCGGAAACAAAAGTCAGAAATCAAGTGTTTAGCATCAGAGGAAAGTGTAACTCGTGCGTCAGAATCTGAAGAAAATGTTAGTGCAACTAGCTCTGGTTTTGTAGAGGATGATGATTTAAGCCATGTAATGAAGTTCAAGATGTCAGACTTCAAAATTCACGATCGTGTTAGCATTGGCCTGTGTGGCAGGGTATGAAAAGAAAACTTGTGTTTGAAATGATATGTTCTGGAATTTGCCTGGTCTGATTTTTGGTTATTGCTTTGGCTGATCTGTGATGCAGGGGAATGAGGTAGTGTATGAAGCCACCATGAAAGATCCTCGTAGGTTTGTTTTGATTTACATTTCTTTAAGCTGAGCATGACTAAAATTTTGGGGAGAGGAGATTTTAATATTAGTTTCTTTCTAGATAATGCAGTCCACTGTATAACACAAGAGTTGTTCTTCGGCGGCTTATTAGTGCTCAGGCCAAGCGTAGAGGAAGACGGGCAATAGAGGCTTGTGAAATGATTGGAAATGTCATATTATTACAGAAAAAGAGTGATCTCAGACTCGCTTAACTATCTTCTGTGGTGTTTCATTGTAGGTGTTAAAGAGATTGACTCATAGAAGACTAATGTACCTTTCTTATGCGATGAATGTTCATGGCTATGTTTGCTCATCCACAACAGGCGACAATGATTCATTTACTCTAGTTCACGGAGTGAGTTATTTTCTATTAAAATACATTTCTTGTTTTCCATCCTCTCAAGTCCTGTCTGTCCTGCAAACTAGAGGAAAATACTAATAGTTTCAGAGTTGACCATGTAATGAAAAAAAAAAGTATCGACCAAATGGATTTTTTGTTTGGTGCTTCTGTTTGTTCATGTGTTTGACAGTATATAACATGCATTAATATAGTCACTTGACTTTAATATGCATCCTGTCAAGTTCGTTTTCCTACACTCAATTTAGCAGAACGATCACAGAGGAGGCTTCCGAGAATAGTGAGAATGTTAACTATTTGCTTTTGCAGTACCACGGTAGTTTTTCCTTGAGGCATTGGCTTCAACAATCAGATTGGCTTCCAACTTTGGAAGCTACTCTTGCTTTGGACGAGGAGTCTGTTAGGAGAGTGGGAGATGATACAATAGGAGGGCCAGCGGTTTCTCGACAGTTACGACTTATCCGGATTTTAATGAGGGATCTCCTAATCGGAGTATGATTTATTTTCATAATATTATTGTGTCACGAGCTGACGAGCATATAAGCAATTGAATTGTTGTTGACAGAATTCGACTGTTCGTGATGTTTATGTTTCATGCTTATGCCAGGTGAATTACTTACACAGCCATGGACTTGCCCACACAGAGTTGAGACTTGAAAATTTGCATATTTGTCCAGTGGATAGACATATCAAAGTGAGTATAAGCTTTCCATTATTTAATAGAAGTTAGGAAGCTGCTGTTAAGTCTCTAATTTTGTGAGTGATCTAAATTTGACTTCTCGGAGAAAGTACAAGACTGCACATTATCTTGACATGGTGATGTAAGTTCTCATAGTGACAACTGCTACCATATTGTTGAGGTGTGCTATTATCTACTTGACAGGGCTTATTTAATTTGATACTTTTATGAATTGAATCATATAGGTCTATTTCATTGTTTTCTCTTATTTATGTCTTTTCAGTAAATGCCCTACTCCATTCTTATTTTCCTCACTTTTCAATTTCAGGTGGGGATATTGGGAAATGCTGCTGACTTTCATGAGTACAGTCCAGATGATAGCAAAATGGGCAGCTATATGGATAGGCGGCAAATGATGATTGCATTTGACATGAGGTATGATGCACATACTGAATATGCGTTTTCTAAACTCAATCTCTTACAAGTTATTCACGAGATCCCTCTTTCTCTTCATGTTTGTAAGATGCGTTGGATTTGTCCTGGCTAAAATGGTGTCAAGGGACCTAATGGATCCGCTGATTTTCTCAAAGTTCAAAGCATTCCTCTCCAAGGTATTACATAGTCAATCTGGAAAAATATTCTTTAATCATGAATGGAATTATTTGCTATTAGCTTGTGTCATATCCTCTTTTTTGACCAATTTTAGGGAAACGACCCTTCCTGCTTGCGTGAGTTTCTGATGCACGTTGTCAATAGAAATTCTTCATCCAAAAATGTTGGATTCCAAGTTAGTAAATAATCCATTATACACATCATTATCTTGTTTGTTCTTTCCATTATCACGAAGATGTGATGATATATTATGCTTTTTGCAGATACTTGATAGAAATTGGGGTGCAGGCTGGAATTTGCTATCCTTACTTCTTGCACCCAAACCTTCACAAAGAATAAGGTAAGCAAACCTTTATGGCAGTTGTAATGATGAATTTGTGTGCATCTATGTTAAAATGGGCACGTCAAACTTGTGTGGTCATTGTTCTGGCACTACTTCGCATGATTATGAAACAGATGCATTTAAAACACTGTACTTTTTTCCAATATTTTACTTTATTAATGTCTGCAGCTGCTTAAATGCGCTGAGGCACCCTTTCCTCTGTGGACCAAGATGGAGGGTGGACCCACCAATGGGCATGATCAGATGGAGTCTTGGTTCAACTGTAGTTCGAATCACAGAGGAATACATTTATGGCAAGCAGCAGGTTTATTAGATCTTCAGTCTAAATTATATATTGTTTGCGTCTCTGAAAAAGCCTTTTTCAAAAATATATTGCTCAAATTTTGGGATTCATATAGGGATTCCATTATTTACTTCTTTCTTTTCGTCGTGAGGATCCATATTTTGAATCGAATTTGTATGGTTTAAATTTGTCAATGTAGTAGGTTTCTTATTCTGCCATGGTAAATTGCCTAAATGATTCTACTTTTCATGTCCTTCAAACACAAAATAAGTAGACTTTTCTGGGAACTTACTTTTCTGGAAAAATAAGATCTTCTTAGCTAATTTGATTTGACAAAGCTCAAGGTGTGTTCTTATTGTACACTAAATTATGTGCCTATGCAAATTCATTATTAACAAACAAATGGAAGAATTGAATAGATTAACTATTTAAAAGGGCCTCCATGGGGGAACAGTAACACCATGTTGATTATGCCAAGTTCCTGGGGGCAAAAGATTTTCTCACATGTGTTATCCATTCATGATCTTTGTTTCACTGGTTCCGCTTTATATCTGCAAGAACTGTGTTAAAAAGTTCATTTTTCATAAACTTGCTAACTTTCTATACTTAATTTCTCAGCGACGTAGGCTTGCACATTTTATTGAACTAATGGAGATGTTAAATCCTCACTCAAAGCCGAAGGTAAGAATTTTTTAATCCTTTTCTTTTATTTTCTCAGATTTGTGTAAATCATTCTCTACTGCTCTTAAATTCTTAAATCTTTTTACAAACACTTGGTAACCTGAACCAACGTCGCCCATCTTTTCTTGACATCATATTCTTCTTTTTCAATTCATATTTCCATTACACAATCCCCTATTTGTTTGTTTTTCACATTGTTGTGCTTATATTAGATTCAACTAGTTTATCTTCTAGTGATTGAAATTTTCCATAAATTATATTAACCCCATTCTTGTTAAAATGCAGCACTGGCTCAACTTGCTTCCAGGCACATGGCGCCTCCTATATAGCACTGGCAGGCACATAGGACTGACCCTTCGGCAACCTCCTGCCCGAGTCCTTATTGGAGACGTGCAACTCACAGTATCTAAACTTTCAAAGCTAAATGCGACTTTTTCGGTAGCATCAGACATTGGCTTCACAGTAATGCTCGGACAAGATTGGGCTCACGACAAGGCTGGTGTAAGCGGAAATATGCAAGTAAGTTCTCTATCTAAATTGAGAGCCGGGAGACGATTATATATAAAGGAAGAACCCAACACCAGAAACTTTTATACTTCCACATTGGATGTTCAGAATTCTATACTAGAAAAGTTGTCTAGTAAAAAATGGAAGAACATAATTCCAATAAAGGAATTTCCTTCTAGTTTGCCTGTAGCCAAACTTGTAACTAGTGATGTGGAAGTGACGATGAGTTTAGATGAGCCGTTGAGTCGAGACATAGAAACAGCACAGAATGTAATTCAAGAAGTTAGATTGCAGGTTCCACCTGAATTATTTGATCTGTCGAAAATTGTGTGTGGTACATATCTAGATTCTAGGTTGCTCGTCCTTAGATGCGTAAATGGTTCTGCCCTCTTGTTTACTAGGTCTATTCTTTGTGAATAAAAATTCTACATGAAATTCTTGGTTAGAAAAGAATATTAATTTGAATTTGTACATATTTTTTTTGTTATTTTTGCATTATTTATTTTTAAGTGTTTTTTTTTTATTTTTTTTTTTTTTTTTGTATTATTTATTTTTAAGTTTTTTTTTTTTTTTTTTTTTTTTTTTTTGCCCTTTTAGCATTAGTAAAAATGACTTGTTTTACGCCTGGATTTTTTATTTTAAATTTACAAAATAATGTGAAGTATTTTATTCAATAGCTGAAGCAAGTATAAGATCGATGTCTAATTCAAGTGGAAAGAGCGAAGCCTTACTGAGTCGTTAACCTCAATTGAGTCTTTTTTGGGAGAGCAAGGGTGAATTCAAATGAAAATCAGCAAGTAAATAAATAAATAAAAGCAAATACGAACGCACAAGTTTTGCCCCCATGACAAGAAAACATGTGATGAAGCGACAAAAAAAATAAAATAAATAAATAATAATAATAATAATGAAGTCAAAAAAATCGAGTATACTCGATTAAATAGAAGGCCTATTGGTCACAAGTACTACTAAACGCTCTACTTGACTAGGTTATTCTGACGAGCAATGCAAGTGTAAACGTTCCATTCTCTCATCATTTTTCATTTTTGTATACAACAATAAAAAATCGTAGAATGGCCTCACGTAAAATCATTATTCCCAAGAAGTGACGAAGAAACGTCAGTAGAAAGAGTGTGGGATTGGTATGGTTCGCTCGGGCTTCCCCAGCTTTCCTTTCACCGATCGGTAAGTTATGGGGTACTTGGCATTCTTCATGAAAGTGCCTCCCCTTTTTAGGATAGGTCAAGCACAATAAGTTGCTGAAGAGCATATAAGGGGCTTCCAACTAGCATCGATTTCTTACATACATTCGCTTTCAAATCAATACAAGTGTTTTTCTATGCAAGCCTCACCTGAGGACTTTTATCAATTTTTGGACACTCAAAAGAAAGGTGTAACTAAGGGAGTGTTTGACACCCATTTTAATGGGTTGAAAATTTTTGGAATAGTGATTGATGGGAGAATGTGTGGTGGAAAAGTGATAAAAAATTTTAGATTTGTGTGTAATATTATTTTATTTGGAGATTGTGTGGTTGAAATGAAAAAAGAGAATGAGAAAGAGAAAGAGAATGGGTGCCAAACAGGGGCTAAATAGTTCGATACCTACAAACAAATAAATTGGACAAAGAGAGAATCAAAATCGAAGACAGATAATTGCGAATTTTGGGATTACAATATGTTATAATGGAAGGTCTCTTTTAAGGAAATTTTATAACGTTTCAATTACAAAACCTAAATACATAAAAATCTCAAAAAGAATTGAACAAGCCAGCGTTTTCCATTTTTTCCCTTCACATAGATAGACACATCATGCATATTAGGTCGTTCCTTGCTATAATCTTCAAAAAGCGTCCTTTTTCTCCTCCAAATTAAATGCCACAAAAGATTAGGTCCTCGATATGTCAAGACTGATGACTCTAGAGGAATAGATCACATGCCCTAGATTATAAAATACACAAGAAATAACTGAAAGTAAATACACAGTCACGAGATAACAAGCATGAATGATTAGAGAAGTCTTACCATAAATTTCAGGAAATAAGGAAGGAATACGGTGGAACTTTTTATTTCAAATCAAACCCTGGCGTTGCAAATCGCTATATGTCTTTTTATTATAGATGTTGCCCTCTTGGTCTTCATATTCTTCTTCAAGATCAGGGCGCCATTTATTCAGCCCTTGTCGTTCTTGGATTCTCTCCCACAGGTGCTTTGCTTCCTGGGTGATCAAAGAATATCATGCATTATACGTCGAAGAGACGAATTAGTGCTGTACAGTAGTGTCCATTCTAATTTACCAAACATGCCACCAAGTATGAATATTCTCAATATAAATGCAGTCAAACATAATTCTTCAGATGGATATAAACACCAAACATCTGAAAAACTAATGACAGGATAATGAAGGTATGCAGAAATGGCGAAGAAAGCAGACCTCAATAGATGTTATTTCATTGAAGTTCTTGGTATTTGGAATACCAAGACATCGCATTCCATGCTGATGCCTCCATTCCTTGAAATGCCTCTCGTAAGCCCTCCGACCCCAATAACTATGGTTTCCACAGATCTCACATTTGAACTCCTGAAAACGTTCATAACAAGACCTTGAGTGAGTTGATGTTGTCAAAATAAATACCAAATTAGTAATAATCTTCTCAAAACAGAAAACAATGACAAGAAGATGCTGATATAATCTGAACCAAAACAGACACATCCTCCAGTTCGTTTGACAAAATTATGCCTTTCTTTCTAGTTTCTACGTTCAAGTATGCTGTTACTGTGCACAAATGGAAAACATTAAAAAGGATATGCATTAGATGGTAATACTGCCTCTCTTTTTTCCTTCTGATTTCTATTATGAACAAAGTTTTTGGCACAAAGGAAGTGGAACAATTAATGGACTGTAACCATTTCACAGCTTTCACTTTTTTCATTTTTATTCTCTTATGAACTGTGTATCTTTTGCTCTCTTTTTTCCACTTTTATAAGCTCGTGACAAGGACATTTTGATTAGAAGCTGAAAAGGAATGCCTCTCGAGTGCTTAGAAATTCAAGCACCTTCAGCAACAAACTAGGGTTACATATGAAGTGCACTTTGAAGCCTATCTGTGCATGATATCATAAATATAGAGAGACATGAAGACATAAATATCTGACTTTGACTCAATAGCACTTTCATATTCCCCCCCTGCCAATATTCACACTATAGGATTCCAACTGATAGAATAGCATTTTTTGTGTAAACCAATGAAATTTATTAACAATGTTATAGAAGAATAAGATATCGACCATGGTAAGGAAGCTGCTGGTTAAAAACTTGTACACCTGTGAAATAAATGAAATATTGACTTCTTGCTCCTAGAGTTTGTTGTTAGTCTTGTGACCAATTAGAAAGAAACTTATTTCGTATGACACAATGAACTTGTTATCATAAATGACAATTACCTGCCCAAGCCCATGAAGCTTATACAACCAGTAGGGGATAGGCTTCCCATCCCATCCCATGGGCAATTTTAGGGGATTATAAATCTGCTGCTCGTCATCATCACTCTCAGATTCAGCTTGGACCTCTTCCTGATGAAAAAGTTCAGATCAAGCAAAAATATATTGTCAGACAGAGCTGCAAACGAATCTACAGTCGGTTAACACATCCAAATATCAGATGTAGTATGGCAGTAAGATAACTCATACTAGCTATCATTTCCTCATTCCAACAACTGTGAAAATTTATCATATAATGCTGCAACGATAATCGCTCTTTGCATTGATTTTAAGGTGCAACTTATGAGAATAGATACTAAAAATTTCTAGGCAATGCAAAATATTATGATATCAGATAGGTCATCATCCTTTATGCTTGCTATTTCCAATACCACGGAAAGCCAATACACCAACTAGACAATCTTTACGAGGGCACCATTACCATTATCTTTCCATTTTTCTTTTGTGTGCGCGTTGGGGTTGGGAGTAATTACCTCTTCACGTTCTGCTTCCATTTCCTCATATGTCAACGCCTGTTTCTTCTCAACGTTTTCTTTTGTTCGGACAATTATCTGTACAGTATAGAAAAACAAGATAAAATTTAATATATAAGAAGGTAATTAAATGCATGGTTAAGAAAAAAGTATAGAGCTTCATGGATTATCCAGAATCATCAAAGAGAAGAGAAGACGAAGACAGAAAAAAGAAAAAAAAAAGGGGAAAAAATATTTTCTTCCGGAATGGAATGGATAGGGTTAGCTCACCTCTTGCAACAAGTCACACAACCTTTTAACTTTGGCTTCAATCAGAGCAATCTCTTTTGCATCTGCACTTGGTTGTGGAGTTACAGCATTACCATTTTGTTGTGGAACACGAGAGCCTTTGGCGAAAAGTTTTCTATCCAACTTCTCAAGAGGTGTATGCTAAAAAAGAAATATAACAAGATCAGAGTGCTTGCCAAGACAAATTCGACATGATATTTAAAAGGAAGCTCAGAGACATAGGCCACCACTAATTGACTTTAAAGAGATAGAAATTCCTACTTAATTGTTCATCCAATCCTCATAGAGACTTTATAGATAGTATATACATACAAGTACTTGGAAAGGAAGTTATATACTCAAAGACACGGGGTTAAATAAACTATGAGGTAAAAAAGTAAACAAGATCCAACAAGGTTCAATTAACTGCAAAGATTTCATTTAAAATGATCTTCTAAACCATTAACCAGTAAAAAACTATACCCTTAAACAGAAAAGGGAACTTAAAACTAATAATTGAATTCCCACCATAATATTGACTCGGATGTTTTAAATGTGTAAATGGTTGTGCAGTAATATACAGTAGATCAATGAAAATAATCTATCAACCAGAAATTGTATAAAACTGTGGCACGGGAAGATCAAAAGAGAGTAAGTTGTATCAATTTATTCAAATTCTCACATATATACACTCTCCATTCCATCAAACATATGTAGATGCACAGACACAAAAGATACCCTATGTCTACCATATCCACCTCACTCCCTGCCCCAACCAAGGGAAGGGGAAAATTTAAAAAGATGCAAAAAGTCAGGGCAATGGAGTAAGATTCATCTGCTTATAAGAGAGTCCCATAAGTTAAAAATATTAAACAAAACCTTGGTAAAAGGGTATTGATAACTACAAGGAAAGGATGATAAATCCTGACCTTTGTAAGAAAAAGCCTCTCTGCACGCTGTTGAAGGGTACCACCTGTCTTCAAACCTAGAGCAGCCAATGCCTATCATGCAGGATATTTATCGATCAATGTGTACCAGTACCACAACCAAGAAAAGAAACTTCTCATCAGGACTTTAAATGTAGATGAGAAACTATGGATTCAATAGCAGGACACGGAAAGCATACTGGAGAGAAAATGCTACACATCAGAGATCGGAGTCTATTCCTTCCAGAAAATTACATGGCATTTTCATTATTAATGCTTGTTCTGTAAACCATTGCTTGGAATATACAGGCACTTGTCAATGCCAGTTCATAGCCTTACAGCATGGTATTACCTAAATCCCCCAATCCATTAAAGCATTGAGTTTATCATTCATCAAGACGAAATAATTTTGTACAGCCTAAAGCTTAGCACGAGAACAAACTTGGACAACAAAATGCGGATCACAATACCAGTTAATTTAAATTGATCATGCAGGAAATAAATTTCTGCGAACTCCTGCCATACCTCTTTTAGCCTCTCAGGTCCTACCTCCATCAGTTCTTCAACAGTAGTATAATAATCAAGATCAATAGCAGAATGCTCTGCTGGAATATTACCATTTTCTTGACTCTCATTTTCCCATCCTTCTACCTTTTCATTTGTCCATTGCTCTTCAAATTCTGTGACTACCTGCCAGAAACCATCACTTTTTAGAAAAAGAACAAACACATGGAAAATTACTATTCTTCAAGCAGACAATTATACTGAACTCAACTAATCCACTTTTTAGGAATTAAACAACTTCCCATATGGAATATCTTTAAAAATCGAGCTAGAAACTCACAATTACTTGACCTCCACCCCTCAAAAAAATCAGTGGATAACTATACGAAAAACTGTGCTAGGATTAGTTTGTCACTTCAAATCATAAATGACTCGTCTAAATTACAATTTCACGGGCAAATATATTATTGCACTACACAGCCTAAGATGGTACTGCCCACCGACAGATGCCTATAAGCAAGTTCATTTCATGCAATGAAACAGTACAGATAACCATATCTCCCCAGATTAGCCAACACACTTGCTGAATGCATGCACCAAAGCAACCCAAATATTTCCCAAATTATAAACTCACACCAGAAGTTTTCCTTACACAGAGAAGAATTATTTTTTTATTATAGAGAGCACAAACATATCTTCAATTCGCAGATAAAAGTTCTAAAAATTAAGAACTAACTGCTTTCCAATTAATGCAATTGTCATTAGCAATATTAATCTAAATTCAGTTGCAAATACCTAGGATGAGATCATCAGTGATAAGAAGTAAAAAGTTAAAGAAATACTTTCCAATTAAACTTTAATTGTTATGAAAGCACAACTGCGCTCAATATACAAGTGACATCTTTACTGCAACAACATAAGTACGAGTCTTTCGTAGAAGTAATACGTTGGCATTGATCCTAAAACTCAATGTACAGGGGGAAGTTGTATTTGAAATTGAACCTTTGAAAATATTCTGTCAAGATCTTGCAGAGGCTCTGTCCGCTCAAAAAAGTATATCAGATACTCCAGTAATTTTTGCATATATTCCTGGTATTGCCTGTTGATACCAGAGATATATATTATGGAATTAGTTTGCATTATACAAAACAGAAAGACAATATAGAAAAGTAAGTCCCTACAAACAGAAAGATCTAAGAAGTAACTGGATAATTAAGTTGCTTAGGTTCCCTTGGTGCTAAATTTACGACTACAAAATCTAACCAATAAGGCAATGAACTCTTTTCTTATATTTAATCTAACAGATCATGCCATGTCTTTGTGGAAGTCGAATTCTTTTAGCCCCTGTTTGACAAAACTCTTTTTTTTATATACTTATTTTCAACCACACATTCACACAATAAAATATTTTATACACGTAAACCCAGAACTTTTCCTACTTTTAACCACACATTCTCATAAAGATCACTATTCAAAACTTTGTTTTTTTCAAATTAATGGTTGTGAAACGGGGGGCTCGATCAATACAGATAGAACAAGAAACCTTGAGGGGTTGTTCAATCGGTCAAACCTTGGGTTTGCTCTCTAGTGGTTACTAGTTCGAGTCCCCTCAGGGCCACTGAAGTGAGTACCCGACCGTAAACTTCAAGGCCCCGTAGGATTAGTCGAGATGCGCGCAGCTTGCTCGCACATCCATGGTTATCAAAAAAAAAATACAAACAGAACAAGGAACAACATATTTTCATCAATAGCCCTCCAACGAGTTCCCAAAAGTGCCCTAACAAAAGCAAAAGCCTTAGAAGTGATGACACCTATAATTCAAGCACAAAACAAATAGTGACACCTTTAAGCATTTGAACCTACAGAGTTATGTTAACAACTCCAGCATGTTTAGTTGTTTACTGCCACAATTTTGCAACGGGATAGCTTTTACTCTTTTCTATTACTTCTCTTTATTTTTCATTGGAATAAGTAGCATTCAGCTATCTTTCTTCATGAAGGATTAAAAATCTAACTAACAAAGGATTCTAGTATCTTTCCAGCTCAGAAAGCTACTACTAGCTAGTATCTGTATGTAACAGTCGAACTCATTTGTGTTAGTATTGTGCAACTGTGTAAGTACATTGCTATTTTTTGCCACGAATGGAGAACTTCCCTAATGACCCAAGCTTATTATATACAGATGCGCTAAGCAGAATTCACAAGTACCATCTTTCTCATTGCTTATTAGCTTAATGCAATTCCTTTCTCCAATATGCAGATATAGGAATATATGATGCTCATGAAATACAAATGACAATCGTCCAAGAAGAAGAAATAGAATCCAAAAAAAATTAAAAAGGAAAAATATTTACCTCGTTAGCTTCAATTTGCGAGAGATCTTCTCTGGTTGCGAGAACACATCAAGATAAGCAGAGTACTCAATCTTCTCCCCAAATTTAGAGTTGATATAGTCATTGAATAATTCGTGCAAATCAAGGTATCGTCCAACGGCTTCCTGAAAGTAGATATGCAGTTATTAAATTAGTAAAGGAATACAAAAAGAACAAGGAACTATGCAATTCAAATTTTTTCTCATAACTTGCTCAAACATACTTAGAAATGGTCAACAAGGCACTCTCACTTTTAGAAACAAAGGGTAACAACTGTTACAAGGTTAATCAGACAATAAGCGAAAAACTCCCCAAAGAAACTACTAAGGAACCCAGCTTAATGCCCAACACTTGGCAACGATAACCACAATTATCCTTCAATTGGAAACTTCAAATTTTCAGTAATCCAATATGTCCCTTAGAGGCTTAGACTCCACCCACCAACTTTAAAGAACATCAAGCTCCAACAGCTTTCTGCAGCAAACAACACACCATGTGCAACATAAACCCCGACCCAGGCAGAGAGAACCCATCTAGATGGTTTGGTCGGCCGTTGCCTCATCTAACCCAAGTGCCCTACCGGTTCACCAAATAAGTACCCTGACTAATTCCATTGTAAGGCAATTGTTGACGTGCTAGTGCCATGTTCGATGATGCTAAATTGAAATCAAAACATTAAAACAATGCCAATATTGTTTCTATAACAGGAAATTTGGGGTATGCAGCACACTCCAAAGACAAGAGACCAAGAAATGGAAAGGCACATCATCATTCTTGAATCATTATAAGAAGAAACATTCTAAACACCAGTCCGGTTGCTCTTAAAAGATTTCTTCATTGCATACACATTCAAAATCAAAACTTCCCATCAATTTTGCCCACAAATGCATCCATTCAAATTGCAGTTGACCCTAATGGACTTGAGGACCTCGAAATTAATAAAATATCGTCATGTCTTCTTGTCTGAGTGAGTGAGTGAGAGTGACCAAGTTTGTGTGTGTGTGTGTGAGAGTGAGAGAGGGAAAGGGATAGAGAAACTAAACCTCCCCGCTGAACTCAATTTGCGGTTCCTCTTTGAGAAGTTGTTCATACTCGTCATTGGCATCAAGTACCCGTGAAGCTGGATGTCGTCTATGATACTCACGAATCTACATAAAAATCAAACATAGTATTAATTTAGGAAATGAAAATTTTCCGCAGACGAGAAAATTCATAGATAAACAATTAAGAAGTGTGCCCTTGTTAAACACAAAGAAACTTCCTTTTAATCAAAAGAAAAAACCCAACGAGTTCGAACCTCTTTTAATCTATCATAAAATGCACTAAAAACATTGGTTCCCGTGGCTGTCTGGCCTCCAAGAGCTGCAATCTCATCCTTCCTGGAACCGTCTTTATCTTCATATATTTCAATCTATTTCAATGAAACCAAATAGACCAACTATTACTAATTTTACCATTAAATCACCACAAATGTTACACTAAAATAAAATGAAAGCAACTACTAATAAATTGGACAGAAATTACGAGTTTGTTAGTCGTGGAGGTGATTTGCTCTATCATGTTACGAACGCGGTGGCTCTGGTAGAGCCGGTCCTTGTTAGTCGGCCCGAGCAAGACCTCCAGGAAATGCTTTAGCCTTTCAAGCCGCTCCACCTCTTCGTGAGATGCACGCGTCACCTCCAGTAGCGTAGACGACATTCTCACTCTCTCTACTGTCTCTCTCTACCTAGGGTTTTGATTTTTTCCCTCCGGCAGTAGCAGAGGGTTTTCTAAAGGGGGTAATAAAAGACTACGGAATCGTATGTTAAGTAACTGGCGAAATAACAAGGGTGTATTTGAATGCAATGTAAGTTATAGGGCGTTTTCTGTAAACTCTTGTTTTTAGGGGTCGATTCGTAAATAAGAATAATTGTTGATAATAAAAGAATTTGTAATAATTATATTCAATCATTTTTATAAACTCGCGTTAATTTTTTTATAGGCTTCACATCTTAATTTTTAAAAGTAAATAAAATTCAAAATAATTGTGATTCACTTTTTGTATGTGTTGAGATTCATCTTAGTTGAACATTTGGAGGAAAGAAGTAAATCAAAATAAATAAGATTTACACCGAGTTAGTTGTAAATTAGTTCACAGTTTGTACTAGATAACTGTTAAGAAAATTGAAAAGAAAAAAAAAAAGGTCAAAATCTTTTCTACTGTACAATCTAAATTTGGTCCAACATCGCATATTATGTATGTACAAGTTGCATTACAATTTTGATGATTGAACTTAAAGGAATGAATATTATTGCGTCGAGCCCAAATTATCAAAAACAAAGTTAAATTCGATTAGCGTTGATATGACAAAATTGTGAATAAGATATTTAACGTGCTTGGATACTTTGGTTTGTTAAATATAGCTTTGAGATTGATTTTATTCACTTAATAGAGTTTTTAAGAAATAAATTTACGAATATTTTCATCAAAATTTTATTTAAGTTTTATCGATCTTATAGTCATAAGAATGGTACTTTGATGATGTAAAAAACATATTGTCGCCTTAGTAACTGTTCGTTTTACTAGCATTCGACTAGTTTGAAAATAATTCAATCTCCAAAAGCGATAGCCATAAATTAAGTACTTAGGTGATGTTCTCTTTGTATTTCAGTTTTGTGTTTTGTATTTTGAGTTTTGAATTCAATTCGTATTTTGTGTTTTGAGTATCTGTTTTGAAGTTGTTGAAAATGCATTTTTCAAGTTATTCTGAAAAACTGTTTCTGAAAAACAAAAAAATGGAAAAACACGTTTATTTTGAAATTTTGAGAATATTTTTTTAAAAATATTTTATTCAAGAAATCTGATTATTCAATAAATTTTAATAGTTTAATATTAATATAGTATTAAATAACATATAAATTTTGAAATTGGTGAATCTTGAAATATTTTTTTCCCAAATATAAAAAACATAACCTAAATTAAATTTAGCAAATCCTTATTTTTGTC